CTCGACCTTTGTCTGCTAATGGGTCCTGGAATTGGTAGGCACTCTCACAGGAGGTTCAGGACGCATAGCCAGCACTGTACACTGTTGATCTGTATTAATATTAGACCACACTGAATGAAACCTGTCTCAATTGTATCAAGATTGTTCCAGATCCTTTCTACTACTGCTTGCATCCTTCACAGAAGATCCCATCATGGGGTTGAGCATATTATGTTAGATCATATCTTGGGCAAATCCTGTCCCACCCAAGTTGACTTAAAATTTAACTATCACACCTAATATATGTATTTGTCTATTGTCTGTGTCCCCCACTGTATGTGAACTCCAAGAAAGCAAATCCATTGTCTGTTTTTTGATTGCTCTACTCCATGGTACTTAGGCCAGTACCTATCACAAAATAGGTGCCCAGCAACTACTTGTCGAGTTAATTAATGATTTAAACTTCCATAGCAAAACTCTTAACATCATAATTACCTGTGATTATTTCAGTCATTTGAGCTAACACATTTCTATTCATATCGAAGCCAATGTGAGTTACCCAATGCAGCTTTTCTTGACAGATAATTGAATCAGGATGCTAAATGAGTCAGTCAACTGACTTGCATAAAATCTTAACTCTTTCTAATGCACTTGAGAATGAGTAAGGGTGTGCCTGAGTTCCAAGCATCTTGTAAATGTTCTACTTAGCACTTCCCATTAGCAAGCCTTCACAAAAGCAAAGGTCTCATTGAAATCCACAGTATTCTGCCCGGAGTGGGCACGTATGAAAATGGTACATGGGCCATGACTGACCTCCTCTCACTTCACAAGGAGAATCACAATCAATAACCCAAGACTCATTCCTTTGAGGCAGTGGTCAACATGCCTCCCCTTTCCAGCCTTTTATGGGTTCTGATATGACCCTACAAAACTGACAGATCATACTCACAGGTATGGGATTTCTGATGAGACCAAAAGGCTATAAATCAGGATCCAGAACAACTCAGGATACAGTTTTGCTCAGGGCAGCATCTTCTCAGTCATACCAACAAACATGCTTAAGTCTCACAGGCTTTTTGGCCTGACTCCAGCCCTGTCCTGCAAGTGTTGTGAAGCACTTGTAACTCTACCAACAAGTACCTAGGGTCACCCTAATCTACTAAGAAGCCTCCTGCCTGCAGGCATTCAGCTTTCTCACTCCTTGGACCAG